AAGATAATAAAAAATAAAGTTTTGATAAAAACATTTATTAATATATACGTGGATTTAAGAGAAATTAAAACTCAGATTTGTTTAATTTTTATATAATAATAAAATTTATTTTAATATTAGTGAATTAATATATATATATATATATATATGCATGTATGTATATATATTTATCTATATCTATATATATTTATATTATATAATATATAATATATTTATTTTTTCGGGCCGACAGGTCGAGTTGACCCGGCCCGATGGATGACCGGGCTTCAATTTCTTAGGCCTAAAGCCGTAAATTTTACGGGCGGGCTCGAGCCGGATAACGGACCTCGGGCTTTTTTGACACACCTACGAATTATGGATCATCCGCGTTGTAGTTCAATCATCCGATGGCCAGAAAACAATGAAAATCATATATTCAATGAACCAAACAATCAGAATTCCATCAGAGAACAAACCTTGTGGACCGTTCGCTCTCTGCCAAACATCCTATAGATCCGGGTTTTGACCGGAGTCGGAGAATTCGGTTTGCCGTCATCGGACAACGAATCCTGGCCGCCGATCCTCTCGGAGACGAGGCTCTCCATCATCGACTCTTCCATAGGACCGTCGATCTCCACCCCCATTTTCTTCTTCCCCGATTTCAAATGTATCTGCAACCAACGAGTGAGGAAAAGAGGAACGAAGCGACGGGAAGTTGTTCGAATACCGCGCGTTCACCGGGCTGGGCCTGTGGTTCGGAGTGGAGGTTCAGTAACGGCGTTAAGTCACGACTTGGAAATACAAGAGACGTGTCGTGGCGGGAAGGAATTTAACGACACAAGGGTCACGAATCGGAGACCCACTCATTGATCCGGAGGCTTTCGTTTGGGCTTGCAAGTTGCAACCACTAACTGGGCCCCAAGCAGTGAGTGTGCGTGTACCCTACAACACACAACAACCGCAGTTTGGGAAGTCGTCGATGGAGCATTTAGATCACTTAGATAAAAATGAGAAATATTTCTCTACATTATTCTTTATGAAATTATACAAATGTAGCCAATCATATAATCAAAACCAACATTCTAAATATTACACACAACGGTAAAGATCAATATCAAGATTGCGAAAATGAAGAAGACTTCCGTTTCATCTGAAGGGTCTAGGGGGTTTCTCCAAGACGGCAGAGAAGAAGACTTCCCTTTCATCTTTGTCTCTCTTAGGTACCACAACCCACTTGTGTCTCCTGTACCTCAACGCCCTAAACCCTTCCAGATAATCATTCAGATCCTCTTTCAGACAGAAGAAACTGTCTATCCACAACAACCCTCCCGGCCTCAGAACCCTGTCCCAATCTAACAGCACAAAGTCCAGAAGTATCAGATCGATCCACCCGTCGAGGAATCTTGTGGTGTGAATCATGTCCAGCGTGTTGTCGAAGAACGGTAGCCTTTGGTTCACTGTTAAGTAGAGCGGGACCAGACCACGAAGAGCGATCATCTCGTTGAATGGAGCCCCGAGGTTGATGGTTGCTGACACGATCGTGACATTTTGCTCTCTCATTCTTGCTGCAAAGGTTCCGGTGCCAATGCTAAAATCCAACCCAATTCTGATCTCTCCCGGTTTGATGCTGAGTACTTCGGGTATCAAGAAATCCGCCGTCTGGTTTGTTTCCGGGTCGACCTCTCCTTGTTCAATCCATCTGGGCATTTCATGATGTGTGAGGTTGAAGCAATCAGTGCATTTGAAGAAGCCTTTTCTTGCAGTAGTGTTGGCAGCAAGGCAAGAGAAAGTCTTGCACCTGTACTGACTCCATCTCACGTTCCTGTTATCCGGAAGCTTCCAGAGAGAGTCATTGATCGGGAAAGGCTTGTAGTATAGTTGCGGTGCCCTGGCGAAGCACCTTCTTCGGGGTAGTGGGTCACAGCCGTGAACCATCAACTTTTGTGCCAGTTTCCAGTCATCATTGCAGATTTCACCCACGTCATAGTCCATGTACTCCTCTAGATCTTCCTTCATGGCAAAACAAGCGTGCCCAATTGAGGTGAAAGTTCCATTAGCTCCCATAAAGTTCTGCTTCCCTAGTCGGTTAGGCTTTATCCGCACATACTTCCTTATTTCCTCTCTCAGAAAGTATTCGCTCGGGTCACCATCCTGCTGCTTCAATGGATGACTGGCTACAATATTTTCTTCGTACACGTGCAATGCCGTATGAACTGACTGAATGAGGCCAAGCACATCAGCAAGAAAAGCTATGTGCCTAGACATAGATCCCAACTCCGATGATGCAGATGATGGGGCTGAAGCTTCAGCCAAGGAATCTGAAACCTTGAGATGTTCAATTTCCTGCTGAATTTTCAGAACAACGCCCTCTAAGCACTGC